GCGTCTTTTGTATGTATGTATATCCTTAATTTTGCCCCGAGAACCGCATTAGAATACAGGGGACCTTATCGAATTCGAAATTAGGAGGTTGGAAACTACTGGTATTTTATCCACTACTTATACCTGTTCCACTGATTTAGAAATTCACATTTTTTTTTACACAAAACTATTCTAATGTTATGCTCTGTTATTAAAGTAGGTTTCTATTTAATTATTTAAAACAAAAGAATATTCAATAATGTGAAAATTTTCAGTGATCTGTTGTAGATCGTTTTAAAAACCATTGAAATCTAAAATCTCGGTGTTCGACTTCCCGCGTTTATTGTGGCAAGAGCAATAGAAATTTGTCGCAGTGCGCTACATTTTCCGGGCCAGTGCGGCATTACACGTCCCTGAAAACTCACACGGACACGCACCCGGGAATAGTGCACTGACCGCGGACAACTATTTCTATTTGTCGACGATCGGTTTTGCTTTCTCTATCGTGCGCGAAGGGAGAAATAAAAAGACGAACCACCACGATTCCAGAGTAATTCGAGTCTTTACGGAACCGGAATCCATAACCGCCCCGTCGTGTGCACTTCGTATCGAGAATATTATTACCAACAGTAGTGTGTTGGCTGTCTGTAATTTTGCGAAAAATAATTCTTCGTCCGTTGAATGGAGAGAGGCTTGTTCACGTGTGACACGCTCGTAATAATTCTTTTACGCTATTATGATAGGCGACAAGCAGGCACCGCAGTGAAATACAGTTCTGCGTCTTATCTACGCGCTCCGTTATGCTGCAAGAGGTGTGCGTATTAGGGGAACAATTCTATTCTTGTGTAAGGTTCGTTTACATTGTCTGGAAATGTTTAGACCCAGTGGTTTTCATCGATATACATATTTCATCCTGCGCCTTTATCGAAAAGTTTTTCTTCTGACATCCACAAATCCACACATACACCATACCCGGTGGTATTTAAATATGTATTATTACACGAAATTTTATGCCATCCCTTAATAACGTGTGAATAGGTTAACAGACGGGCTGGACAGTTTTGTGCTATCGTTTCTAGGCGATTAGGGTGAACATTAAAAAAAAAGAAGAGAGTGGTATCGAATACGGAACGAGGATGCTCCTTGTATGCGGTAGAAAAATGAGCATAGCTAGTATCATCGTTGCAAAGGGGATACCTTTAGCAGTTCCAAACACGCGATAAAGTTATCTCTCTGTTCTTTTAAATGCCGATCATCCGAACGACGCATGCCCAATCTAACACGATTACTATTGGGACGTGTGGTTTTTTTGGAGGGGGAAGGGTGGGGAGGCAGCTTATTCCGCGTGTGGAAGAAATTATCGAAGGGTCGCGGACTCCTAACCTTTCTTGAACCACGCCGGGATTACATAAGGGGGGTAACGTTTCCACTGAGCCCAACCGTGTTTGATATACGCTCGGGTGTGTTTCGCCGGCGACATTTTGAAAACCACCGTAATGCTTCCCAGGATTGTGTGAACCACGTAATTTGCTGATTTATCGTTTCGAATATTATCTCCCGATTTTTGGTAATTTCTAACGACGTGTCGTCGTTGTATCGTTTCGTTCACCTGGAATAATCAGGGAGCATTTATGGGGTATTGACGGTGTAGTGCAAGGGGGCGGGAGAGGGCGAGGGTTTAGCATGGACGACTGGAAAGAAAGAAAGAACTCGTCATGCTCCATCGATGACGAGTCTATTTAGGGCCCGGGAGTTCAGGTAATTGATGACGCCTCCCCTCTTCCAATGCAGGTCAAATGTTTTTGTCCCGTAAGAGGTATAGAACCTATTTAGTCGGTTAATTCTCGAGCGTATACGCGTCCGCAAAAACTTTGAACCACCATTAACCGTATCGCGTGTATACTAGAAAGTCGACCGGAACGGGTTTTTCCAAAGTTCAGGTCGAGCAAAGAAAGCAGAGAAGCCAGCGTATTTTGGAACAGATTAGTGAGCACACTATATTACACCGAATTTTCAAGAGAGGTGTCGGATAGTTTGTTTCTAACCCCCGTGAGAGTACCGTTATTTTCCTTGAAAAGGATCGATCGATTTCAGCTTTTTATTCGCTGTGTTTTTGGTGGATCATATTGTCGTTAATCGCGATGGAAATCAGTGGATAATTAATCGAAATACCAGACATAAAGTACAAAAATTATTTTGGATAAAAATTTCAAGAAGATCACGTCTGAGAGCGCTTTCGATCTGCCAAGGTCAACGATTACGTCTTCAAACGGAATGATACACTTTTTTTTGTTCGTGGTATTAGTAATTAGTGGAGATCAACCTTGATATATCATCGTGTTTTTTTTGTTATATCAATACCTGCAACGTTGTCTCGTCGAAGAAGTAGCGACTAAGTCACCATCATTATTGCATAACTGACAACCATTATAATATAATGGTTGGATCACAAGAAGCAGCAGGAACGTAAGAAAAGTGATAAAATACATTGTTTATTATGAATGCCACCGAGCGATACAGTCGTCTTGTTTAATAAAACACTGATATCGTTTGAATTCAGTACATCATTTTGACGTTGGTGTTCTAAGAAAATGGCGTAGTATGGTTTGACAATAACGACGACGAATATTCGGAGTATTCCGAAGGTAGTCATAGGCTTCTCATTACCGAAGGAATAAAAACAGAGATTTGGTGCTTCAGAAGAAAGTAATTAATATATGTACGTGAAAAGCTGAATTAAAAGAAGTTTCTATCGATAGCTACAATAGATTTTTCCTGTTATTTCACTACCGTGTCCTGTGTTGTTCGATCAGCCTGAAATAAAAACAAAGAGCAGTCGTGACATCTGATATTTTGCGAAGGAGATATGCAAGTCTTTACTTTGCGACTTCTGACGTCAAAAATTCAGCTCGAACACACGAATGCTAGCATTCCAATTTGGAATAATAAATTAACTACGTTTCATAAGAATGTGAAACATTGCTTCTCGAAGAAAAAAAATCATTTTAAAATTAAAGTACACATGAAAGGTGCTTGCTCCCCACGTTCGAACGACACCACGCGGTTTCATTAATTCATATTTTCATGAACGGGACCTTTCAATTTTTTCCGAATCACCGACTTGGGGCCACTTTCATACTTAGAGGCAGCACAATTACAAGACGTGGATGGTTGAGAAGCGTTTCCTTGAACCAGAGTTTTCCTCGCTACCGTGTCCATTACCACCCAGACAATTCGTAAATGTGTTGTGGATGGTGTCCCCTGGATCTGAAGGGAGTTCTCGTGTCTGCCGCTGAGTGGTCGGGGGCGCGGATGGATAGTGGGTCAAAAAGTTACCTTTCTGCAGTGACCACTGATCGTTCACCCTAAAAACAGATTAGTATGCCTGTTGCGCAGGTCAAGGAACGTGTAAAAGGGCGAACGGAACAGTTGTATCGGTGTGTTCAACAGTCCATGCGGAATCGTCCTGGCGTCAGGATATCGCCTCTGTGTGTAGTCTTCCGTTCAGCCGCGACCGCAAACCGAAGTTCCCGCGAGATATACCTAGTGCGATTCCGTGTCCTTTACGCGCAACGTGTGACGTTCCGTCGTGTTGTGCGTGCTTTTACTGCCCATGCTTTATTTTGCGTCTTACCCGCGATAAAAGGTTAACCGCGTGTGGTGTTCGTTGACTGCGAGGAGATAGTCGGATAAAGCGTTGCTCCGTGCGAAAACATCAGAACACTACGTAAACAGAACCACAAACAAAAGTTTTTGCGGCGGATTCTTTGTGGCAGACAGACTAGATCCCCGACGTCTGTGCGATAGCGCGACGCGACGTTTTACAAGATCCTCACTAGTGGAATTGAAATTCGAGATCGTTCGAGAAATGTGCAGGGTGAGTCGGTAACTGTTATTGCTGTAATACCCTCGAAACTGGACAGTAGGAGAACATATTTGACCAATGACAAATCATGCAAGAGGTAGAACGATATTTCGAATACACATGTAATTCTCTGATATACATATAATGATTAATATACTCGGGTATGAGTGGTCCGTGGATGATACAAAAGATTTGTAATGAATCGATGAAAAATCATTTCACGGTTCTGTGGATAATTGTGTCGTAATAATTACTGACATACTTGTGCGTTGTTGTTGTGGGTCACATTTGTCCGACGTTATATCGAATTCTGTAGTAGGGAATGCTTTTAATAATTCACACGTAGTTTTTAGTAATTGGCTGCCTTAGAGAAAGCACGAGTATCATTGCCTCGGTATTTACATCTATTTTATACTACATTACAGTTTCATCCGCTACGGGATGTTTAGAAATTAAACAGAGAATCTGTTACTATTAACACAATACAGAAAGTACCCAAGCGAAATTGGAGTAGACAAGGGATGGAGAGCTTTCTGAATCCTTTCTTATGATGCCATATCTTGTTACTTAACACTGTACAGGGTGTTCCTTTAAGTTCTCAAAACGAAAACGTTTACGGGTCAGAAACAAGGTTTGCCGAAACACGTTTAATAGGAACAATTTTCATTATTTTCTGTGTATGTAATTCGTTTTTGATATACATGTTATGAAACATACACTATCTAGTAAACTAGTATTTAGGCTGATGCAACAGGTTGGTTGTTTGCACGCGTAACTTCTGAACGGACTGTGTCGAAGGTCCGGTACCTCGCATTGGGTTATACCAATTATTCTAACCTCTCTTTCTCTCTTCAAATGAATCGGTTTTTTTTTCCCATGTTAATTCAACTCGATGTCTGTTTAAACGCAGATACTCCAACGTGTTTTACGAATTCTAATTTAAATTTTTTGTTTCTGTGCTAGCAGAAAAATCACCTGCTAAATATTCGTTGCTATCTGTTCGAGGTAGTATAACATTAATAATAGATGTGCTTGCCGCGGCATTATTAGGGCCCGTTTCCAACTGGTCTGCTTCACGACCACAGTGTGTATCGTTTACAGAAGACTCGAGTGAGAGAGACTCGGCGCTAGTAAAGGCTGCGTGTTGTCATTCTAGATGCCACAGAATCGGAAAAAGTGAAATTCGACGACTCGAGGGAGCCCACGGGCGGATCGTCTGGGGCTGGGACAACAGGAGGTAGCGCGGGTAGCAACAAACGCGCCAAGAACAAGAAGAGACGCGAGGCACAGCAGGAGTTTACGCATTCCTGGATGGTGGGCGCGTTGAAGGGTCACACTGCCCCTGTCCTCGACATGAATTTCTCCAGCAACGGCAAGTTCCTCGCAAGTTGTGCCGAAGGTATGTATAAACGAAGAAATACATTTTAATACATTTAATCGTAAACACGAATAATTGGTCACAACAGTATCATTTGTATATGTACTCGAATTACATAGTCTAAGATTTTTGTTTTTTTTTTCTTTTGCCTTTTTAATAAGATGACAATATAATTTGAGTATTGGACCGAATTATGTGTATACATATTTCTGTAAAAAAAATTCATTCGTGGAATTTTTTAATTTTCGTCACCGACGCATGCTCAGGTACCGGAATAGAAGAACATTCGAACGGCCTTAAAGTTGATTTCGAATCGGTCTCATAGAAACACTGTTCCGGAGCGTTTTTATGTAACACAGATTTAGAAGCAAGTAGTTGAAGTTGAAGGGTCACGTGGATACTTTTGTGACCAATTGTGCATGAAGAGGTTGTCCCAAGAGTGGTCTCTATCAGCGACATTGGATTTTTCTGTGTACTGCTGGATTTCTGTGTCCGAGCTTATCGCTAAACCCCGGGATGAAATAGTTTTCGAGAAGTAGTACTTCCGAGATAAACCGAGCAAACACTGCTGCCCACGATCGTCCCGATAGTAGTTTAATTTTTCATTCACTTATCAGACAGAATGCCTCCTTCATGTTTCGATAAAAGTCGGTATCGTCTTAGCGGAGAGATGACAATAACTGTTCTTCAACCACGGAATGAAATAGATAGAAAGTTACGCAATCGTTATGTGAACAACGGAAAAACAATATCTCGCCATGGATCTGATTGTTACGAGTACCGATAGATATTGATAGTATAAAAATTATTACTGGTCGTATATAAATGATTTGACGTCAAGATTTTTAACGTACCATCCTTTCCAAGTAAAACTTTTCTATTTTTCACATCGTTTTATTTAAAACGAAGTATCAAGGGTAAATTTCGTAACAGCATTCAGATACCGTTCTGAAACACATTAAAAAAAAGGAAATGAAACAGTTAAATATATAAAGTGTACGTAAACGTAGAACTTTGAATAACGCGGAGTAGAAGTGTAAATATCTTATCACATTTACTTAAATGGTACGATATGGTCTTCTGCAGAAGTAAACACGATAAAATAGAATATTAACGAAGTTGCAAATTGTGTAGATAGGGGCTGAAGACGTAAGTAATGTTAGGTTCAAGCATATACGTATTCCAAACAGGGACAAGTAAAAAGATATAACAATTCCTTAACCTTCAGTATCTTATACTTTATAATTTATTTCACGGTCCTTAATGAACGGCTCCCAAACAAAATGGCGGTAGCGAACATGTTACAAAGTGTGTTTAATTTAGTGTCATCAGAATATAGTTCGAATTGTTCAACGTTATTAGAAGAAAAAGTAACGAAGCTAGCTGATCTTTGGTTTCAAGATGAAAATGTTCCTTTACTCGGTTAACACTTATTTCGGAAATTTTTTTCAACAATCGACAACCGCATCGCCGCGCCGCGCTATTGGCGCAAGAATTCCCGTTGTTGCGCGAGAAAAGCGATAAAAAGCTCTGTGGTCTCTGATAGGGAGCCAGCTCGAAGGAGTGTCTTCTCTCTCTCTCTCTCTCTCTTTTTTTTTTTTTTTTTTTTATTCCTTTGGTACCCGTATTATCGTGCTGAACTCCCTTGAAACGCAGTTGCCCGTCAGGCGAGACACGATTTCGTCGCCGAAAGAGGAAGAAGTCGAGGGTTTCCTTGCCGTTCGCCGCGCGCGTCTGCGTTTTCATTGGATGACGCGAATGTGCCTTTATTTCTTTTTTTTTTTTTTTCTGTAACTTGCATGTGTCATTGCTATCCTTATTGTTGTGTCAGTAACAATGGCCAATCTCTGTCTCCGCTTACCTCGTTTTCTCGACGATTTACGACTCCGTCTCTCTGACCTGCCACACACGCAACGTGTTTCTGTGGTGATGGTTCACGCGCGCACGCGTTGGCTGGCTGGCGTGAGCATATAACGAAGACAAATCGCGGTCGCGTCGAAGAGTTTTGCGCGGAGGAAAGTTTAAAATACAACGAGCAAGAAATATGCTCGAATGATAACGATGTTGCTAAAAAATATTAATTTACAGTTTGGACTCCCTTTTCGATTGCATCGCCAATTTACAGGCCACCCTGTACACGGTGGTCTGAAAAACGTTGCGACTATTGCTTCGAGTTCTTTTTTAGGCACGATTCTTAGTCTTCAACCCTAGATCACTGAACTATCGTCGAAATTACGACCTGGAATTCGTGATTCTCGTTGTCGCGAGTCCAGGTTGTGCTGAATAATTACTGTTCGAATGTTTCCATTGTTTTCAAGTGTTTACGAATGATTAGTAAATAATGTAAGTCACCGGATAAGTTAGCGATTTACGGTTAAATAATATAACCGTTCCCGTGAATTATTCAGTTTTACACCGAAACCTTGATGGTGTACAATTGAAAATCTTGAAATAATCGAGTTGAAGCTGGCCTGCGGTCAGTGAGAATTCAACGTCCGCTCTGAGAAAACGCGTTTCCACCCCACCGAGAACGAAATCAACTTACCCACTGGACACTCGTGTTACTCGTTACGCGTTTTTCTGTCTTATCCTTTTTTTATCCAATCTTAGAAATAAACGTGTGGTAGCCATGGGTCGCTTCGAGTGGAAATCAAGTTAATTCGCCCGCGAACGTTTTAGAGCGTTAGCCTGCTCCTAATTACGGTGTTCTTATGAAATAGACCACCCCCCCCCCTTTCCCCCAGCGAGTTTTAAGGTTCACCAAATAGGATCTTTCGCGATGGACAGTTCATTGGGCGGCAGGTTTAGAGGGTCTGTAAACGACCCAATTAACCGAAGACGTATGCTACACGAGCATAAAGTGAAAGTACGAAAACGATGGAAAAATCGTTCCGCGCCAGAACAAGACTACTTTCACTATTTCATCTTTAGGAACGACGGGGAACCGGGTGTTCTAACCGACCGAGAACAGTCGTCTACCATTTCGATACAGTTCAAAATACTCTAGACTATATCCATATTATTAATCGTTTCGATAATGCCTCTCGTTTATCGAAAAGTAATATATAAAATGTAAAAATATATATCGAAATTTTCATTAATGAAATTAAATATTAACTTTATACATTTACGTCGCCACATAAAACTTGATTTCACGACTTTGAACGATGCGCGTGTGCTTCTCCTGAAAATGGCGGCTTCTGGTTAATCAGCCAGATTGTCCCTGGACCCTCGTTGGTCCAGGTATGTGGGGGAGGGGGGGGCATCTTTGATTTTCGTAAGATGTGTGACACCAGTTAGATACCACCAGTTTTCGCAATCGGACCGTGTAAGGGTTAATGTATTTGGACACTCGAGAGCTGTATCCTTCAATGGCGCTTCCTTCTGGTATGGCTCGTGGGTGACCCGTTGACCATGGAAAATTTTCGTAAAGCGCGCGGCATCAGCTTCGTCCACGGCGAGAGAGTTTCACTCCCCCCCCCCCCCCCCCCCCCCCCATAACCTCGAATTCAGAGACGAGAGAGAACACACACCAGTGTCTGCCACGTGTGCGGACGCGCGTAGTCGCCAGTTATAATACCAAGAACGCACGTGGTGAGTAATAGGAGAGCGGGTGAAACGATGAGTTCTCGAGTTCTCGGAAGGAAGGCCTTGTAAATGAAATCCTCCACGCCCTGTGGACGATTACTTTTGCCATCTTCACGGCGTTTAGATTCCATTTTCGGTTTTACCGCGTTACGAGTTCCTTCTGTTTCGAATCTTACTTCCTTTGAATTCGGGACACAATCGGAGATGTGACACCACCTTTGAGTTCTAATTTTCTTCGTCCCTTATTTCAAACTGAATTGTTTTACCTACTTTCGGCATACGTTATTCATGGAGTTCGAACTGTCTTCAGATCTGTCTTTTTTAAGATCTACCTTTGGGGATACCCACGTATATTAACTTCTGTCTACTTCAAATGCTACTTTGTTAGATTCTACCTCCTCAAGAGTACATAATGTTTTCCTTGTATTCTACCTCCTTCGTCGACCCGCTATATCCCCATCAAGTTCTACCATTCTTCGACTACTCCATCCATCGATTTTCACCTCTTTTGGCATCTGTACCCTTGGAATACTACCGTCCTCTAATTCTTATCTTTCTACCGTCTCTAAACGCCTACTCCGTTTATCTTCTACTACATTCGTCTTTCCGGTTCCCTATTCTATTTTCCCATTTTCTATCCTCGTCTAATTCACAAAATATGTAGGTTATTGAAAAGTGATCTTTCGAACGGCTACAGAAAGTTTAGTTTTTCCACAAGAGACCCTTTTCTCTCTCTTTCTCTACCAAACAAGAAAAAAGTCCCGAAACGGGAACTGTTTTAGGACAGACGTATAACGTATGGTCACTCGAAGCAGCAGTATATTATCCCACGCATGGAAAACAGAGCGCATACATAAACAATGATCGTCATTTACATGGTTTTCCCGTTCCTGGCGATAAATTCCTCGAGGTCTAGAGAATTTCCGCCCGGTTCCCCCGAGATATCGGTTCTTTGCCAGTTAAAACGGCACTCGTGGGGCTGTGCTGTGTCTCGTTTGTTGGATAATTACGATTGCACACAGGCGATAAATATACTCGAAATTTTTGAAAACCAAGTGCGCGTCCTTATCGTTCGGGGATTATACATTCGGCGATAGACCGTCTGTGACTCATTTTGGCCACAGAGTGTTTAACGGTTCCGATACGCGATTTCCTCGAATCAATCGTTCAAATCTAAATCTCTCTAAACGATTATTATGGATCAGAGATCATCGGAACAGAAGAACCCCAACAACAACACATCGCGTCAACATTACTAAATCATCGTTTCCTACGAAAGACGACCGAAAATAATCGCGGAGTGCGAAATGTCTGTGTGGGCTGAGAACGAAATTAGAAACGGTTACTGAACTTTTGCACGCCATTCGCTGCTCTTCCCCCGCTTGTTTTTTAATTTTTTCGTCGACCTTTCTCCCCTCTTCCCGGTAAATTAT